CTGCAGATACAGATTCTGTATCTAGAACCTTGCAACCTTGCAGCTCCCCGCTTCATAGCCGCAGGTATCCGCGTGCGTGGAAGTGGCCACGGAAAGCCCCGGATCTTTTTGGCAGTTTTGGATACTAATGTTGCATCCATTCAGAGCTCTGCTAGCTGGAGCAGGGCTCCTGTGTCTTATTCCTCTTTTTACACACAAGATCACTTTTGGAATTTTAAGTGCATTCCAAGAGCTACCTCAAACTCACATATCCTTGCCCTGCCTCCTTTGTGCTCCTTTGCCCTGCCTCTCTCTGTGACCCCACCGCTGCTCACTCCATCTTCCTCCCTCCCAACACTCACTTTCACCAGGCTGGGGCAGCGGGTTGGGGTGCAGGCTCTGGTCTTGGATTAAGGGATTTGGAGTGTGAGAGGGGCTCTGATCTGAGCTTGGGGCAGGCAGCTGTGGTGCTGGAGGGGGTTCTAGGTACAGGCTCTGGGAGGGTGTTTGGATGCATGGGGGCTCAGGGTTAGGGCAGGAGCTTGGGATGCAGTAGGGGATTCATGACTGGGGTAGGGGTTCGGGATGTGGACTACAGCTGTGCACCGCTTAGCTCAGGTGGCTCCTAGGTGATGATGCAGTGAGACTAAGGCAGCCTCGCCCCTGCCCTGGCCCTGACCCTGCACCACTCCCAAAAGCAGCTAACAAATTTGCTCTATCCCTAGTTCTTTTGTGCCCCCTCTATGCTCTGTGGAGATAGGCTACAGGGTGGGTTAAGGGAGCACCTTGACATCAGCGCCCATCCTCTTCCTTCCCTGCCCTGCACAGCAAACAGGAAGCTCCTGGGGAAACAGCTCCTAGGCAAAGGGCCAGAGATGCACACCAGTGGGAGGAGGAGCAGCTGAAGTGGTGGCACTTGATAGCCACGTGGCCAAACCAGTCAGGATCACCTGTCAGAGGCTTCAAGATCTACCAGTAGATCCCAATCTACTGGTTGGTGACCACTGGTCTAGTGGTTGGAGTAAGTAGGACTAGGAGGCAGGACTCCTGGCAAAGCCATCCTGTTCATTAGATGGTTTGGAGCAGTAGTCCCAGGCCCTGCGCTTTGAGGGGCCCTGCAGGGCCCAGAGCTGTCTGGGGATTACTGCGGAGTCTGGGGCCAGCAGGAAGGGTCAAGCCTGCCTCTGCACTAGTGGTGATGGGAGCTGCAGGAAGCAGAGTGATCCAGCCTGATCTACTTCACCATCTCCCAGCTGGGTTGCTCTGCTTCCTGCTGCTGTAGTGAGTGGGGGAGAGGGATGGGGAGGCTACCCTTGCTCCTGGCACCAGGCTCCCAAGTAATCCCCTGGGCCATATTGCTCAAGGGAGCTGTCTTGGGGGAAGGGGTACAATAGGGGCAAAGCAGAGGCAGGAAGAAGTGGGGCTGGAGAAGGGGAAGGGTTTGGGGAAAGGCTGAAGTGGGGATGGGACCTGGGGTGGAGGGCCTCCTACGGGTGGGCCTCAGTCTTGGATTGTGTTCTTACACAAGGTTTTAGTGACACAGCAATTATTGGCAAGAAGATCCCATATCTGTGCCTCTGCTTCCCTTGCCCATGCTAGACAAGGAGGAGGGAGGGGTAAAAATTCCCGACTTTCTGCCCTGGTACACTGTTATGAGTACCTTGGGATGGAAGGAAGCTCTCAAGAAGCCAATTGCTGTTAAGAGGCAGGAATGGGACAAAGAAGGCTAAAATAATACACACTTGACTTGTGTCCCAGCTGCTTGGTTACTTACTCATCCCAGTTTGTACTTCCTCTACAGAAACTTCTTCCTCCGAGTTCTGCGAAGAAGAACTCATTCTGTGGGGACTCCCAGTGATGCATTAGTCTTCTGAGCCTTGCTTTTCTTGAATTCTTCCTATTCTGATTTGCAGTGGCTTTGGGGGCTGGGAGCAGCTGAGCTGGAGCTCTGAGTTCAGAAGCCACATGCCTCATTGCACAGATCCTCCAGGTGAGAAGAGTTGCTGAGCAGAGTCCTCTGCACTGGAAACTAAGCCCCCTTGGGCTCTGAGAAAGGGGATGAGAAAAGCTTTTAATCTGCTCAGCTTTGATGGTTTGCTGTTTCTCTTCTGAAGCCTTCACTCACAATAAAGTGTTGTCTAAACTGCCAGTTGAAGGACAAACTTTTGTGGCTCACAGGTGCTTAAACTCCTCCCCTGTGAAAGACAAATGTTTTGCCCCCATGAGTAGCAGTGTAAAGGGCTCATTGTTGGCAGCAAAGCTCTCCTGTCAACAACAGGAACCCTGCCGGTATGGATGGAAGTATTTTGTCTGCAAAAGTGCTGACAAACAGTATTTTTATGCTTCCAGGCTTTTAGCCTAGCAGTCATGCAGCCATGATTAGAAACCCTTATTACTAAAAGCTGTGTTGTGTAGACAAAACCTTTGGATCACATCGAGCAAGAATTTCTGATTCTTTACTAATGGACTCTTTCTCTGTTCAGTGTGAAACTTCGGGATTTGTGATGGAAGCACTGAATTTCTCTGTAACTAGATCCCTTGGTACTAACATAAGAACGGCCGTACTGGGTCAGACCAAAGGTCTATCTAACCTAGTATCCTGTCTTCTGATAGTAGCCAATGCCAAATGCCCCAGAGGGAAAGAACAGAACAGGTAATCATCAAGTGATCCCTCTCCTGTCACCCATTTCCAGCCTCTGACAAATAGAGGCTAGGGACACCATTCTTACTCATCCTGGCTAATAGCCATTGACAGACCTAACCTCTATGAATGTATCTAGTTCTTTTTTGAACCCTGTTAAAGTCCTGGTCTTCACAACAAGGAGTTCCACATGTTGATTGTGTGCTTTGTGAAGAAAAAATTCCTTTGTTTGTTTTAAACCTGCTACCTATTAATTTCATTTGGTGACCCCTAGTTCTTATGTTATGGGGAACAAGTAAATAACTTTTGCTTATTCACTTTTTCCACACCAGTTATTATTTTATAGACCTCTATCATCTCCCCCCTTAGTCTCCTCTTTTCTAAACTGAAAAGTCCCAATCTTTTTAATCTGTCTTCATATAGGGACCATTCCAAACTCCTAATCATTTTTGTTGCCCTTTTCTGAACTTTTTCCAAAGCCAATACATCTTTTTTGAGATGAGGTGAGCACATCTGTACCATGGATTTATATAGAGGCAATAAGATATTCTCTGTCTTATTCTTTATCCCTTTTTTAATGATTCCTAATTTTCTGGTTGCTTTTTTGACTGCCGCTGCACACTGAGTGGATGGTTTCAGAGAGCTATCCACAGTGACTCCAAGATCTCTCTCTTGATTAGTTATAGCTAAGTTAGTCCCCATGATTTTGTATGTATAGTTGGGATTATTTTTTCCAATGTGCATTGCTTTACATTTACTAACATTAAATTTCTCTTGCCTTTTGTTGCCCAATCACTTAGTTTGATGAGGTCATTTTGAAGCTCTTCACAGTCTGCTTTGGTCTTAACTATCTTAAGCAGTTTAATATCATCTGCAAATTTTGCCACTTCTCAGTTTTCCCCTTTCTCCAGATCATTTATAAATAGGTTGAATAGGATTGATCCCAGTACGGACCGTTGTGGGACACCACTGGTTACCTCTCCATTCTGAAAATTTATCATTTATTGCTACACTTCATTTCCTGTCTTTTAACCTATTATCAGTCCATGAGAGGACCTTCCCTCTTATCTCATGACAACTTACTTTGCTTAAGAGCCTTTGGTGAGGGACCTTGTCAAAGGCTTTCTGGAAATCTAAGCACACTATATCCATTGGCTCCTCCTTGTCCACATGCTTGTTGACTCCCTCAAATAACTCTAATAGATTAGTAAGGCATGCTTTCCCTTTACAGAAACCATGTTGACGTTTCCCCAACAAATTATGTTCATCTATGTGTCTGACAATTTTATTCTTTATTATAGTTTCAACTTATTTGCCGAGTACTGATGTTAAATTTACTGGCCTGTAATTGCCAGGATCACCTCTAGGGGCTTTTTAAAATATTGGCATCACATTAGCTATCTTCCAGTCAGTAGGTACAGAAGCTGATTTAAAGGATAGGTTACACACCACAGTTAATAGTTCTGCAATTTCACATTTGAATTTTTTCAGAACTCTTGGGTGAATGCCATCTGGTCCTGGTGGCTTGTTACTGTTAAGTTTATCAATTTATTCCAAAACCTCCTTTAATGACATCTCAGTCTGCAACAATTCCTCACATTTGTCACCTAAAAAGAATGGCTTAGATTTGGGAATCTTCCTAACATCCTCAGCCGTAAAGACTGAAGCAAAGAATTCATTTAGTTTTTCTGCAATGACTTCGTCGTCTTTGAATGCTCCTTTAGCATCTCAATCATCCAAGGGACCCACTGGTTGTTTAGCAGGCTTAAAAACATTTTACTATTATTTTTTGAGTTTTTTGCTAGCTGTTCTTCAAACTCCTTTTTGGCTTTTCTTATTATACTTTTACACTTAATTTGACAGAGTTTATGCTCCTTTCTATTTTCCTCGCTAGGATTTAACTTCCACTCTTTAAATTATACCTTTTTATCTATCACAGCTTCTTTACTTAGTTGTTAAGCCACGGTGACACTTTTTTTAGTTCTCTGTGTTTTTTAATTTGCGGTTAGGCCTCTAGTATGTTGTCTTTGAAAAGTTTCCATGCAGTTTTCAGGGATTTTACTTTTGTCACTGTACCTTTTAATTTCTGTTTAACTAACCTTCTCAGTTTTGTGTAGTTCCCCTTTCTGAAATGAAATGCCACAGTGTTGGGCTGCTGAGGTGTTTTTCCCACCACAGGGATGTTAAATTCTATTACATTATGGTCACTATTTCCAAGTGGTCCTGTTATATTTAACCCTTGGACCAGATCCTGTGGTCCACTTGGGACTAAATCAAGAATTGCCTCTCTCCTTGTGGGTTCCAGAACCAGCTGCTCCAAGAAGCAGTCATTCAAGATGTCAAGACATTTTCTCTCTGCATCCTGTCCTGAGGTGACATGTATCCAGTCAATATTGGGATAGTTGAAATCCCCTACTATTATTAAGTTTTTTTTATTTTGATAGCCTCTCTAATCTCCCTTAGCATTTCATAATCACTATTACTATCCTGGTCAGATGGTCAATAATATATCCCTGCTGCTATATTTTTATTATCGGAGCATGGAATTACTATCCATAGAGATTCTATGGAACATTTTGGTTCATTTAAGATTTTTATTTCATATGATTCTACATTTTCTTTCACACATAGGGCCACGCCCCCACTAGCACGACCTATTCTGTCCTTCCAGTACATTTTGTATCCTTGTATGACTGTGTTCCATTGATTGTCTTCATTCCACCAAGTTTCTTTGATGCCTATTATATCAATATTCTCCTTTAAAATGAGGCACTCTAGTTCACCCATCTTATTAGATTTCTAACATTTGTGTATAAGCACTTTAAAAATGTGTCACTATTTATCTGTCTGCCATTTCCTGCCATTTCCTGATGTGTTAGACTCTTTTTCATTTGATTGTTTCTCATCTGATCTTACCCATACTTTATCATCTTCCATCCTTTCCTCCTGACTAGAACATAGAAAATCTCTATTAATAGACCCTCCCCTAAGAGATGTCTCGGCCTGATCCATGTTCTGCTCTGCACCTGTCGATTTTCCCCCAGCCCTTAGTTTAAAAACTGCTCTATGATCTTTTTAATTGCCAGCAATCTGGTTCCATTTTGGTGTAGGTGGAGCCCATCCTTCCTGTATAGGCTTCCCTTTTCCAAAAAGTTTCCCCAATTCCTAATAAACCTAAACCCATCTTCCCTACAGCATCGTCTTATCACCACATTGAGACTCTGAAGCTCTGTGTGCCTACCTGGCCCTATGTGTGGAACTAGAAGCATTTCAGAGAATGCTACCACAGAGGTCTCTTTCCTAGCAGCCTAAATTTGGCCTCCAGAACCTCTCTCCTACCCTTCCCTATGTCATTGGTACCTACATGTACCATGACCACTGACTCCTCCCCAGCACTACACGTAAGTCTATCTAGATGTCTCAAGAGAGCCACAACTTTCACAGCAGGCAGTTATTTCGGTCATCAAAAATCCAGGTGTCAGCTGGGTTGCTCTGCTTCCTGCTGCTGTAGTGAGTGGGGGAGAGGGATGGGGAGGCTACCCTTGCTCCTGGCACCAGGCTCCCAAGTAATCCCCTGGGCCATATTGCTCAAGGGAGCTGTCTTGGGGGAAGGGGTACAATAGGGGCAAAGCAGAGGCAGGAAGAAGTGGGGCTGGAGAAGGGGAAGGGTTTGGGGAAAGGCTGAAGTGGGGATGGGACCTGGGGTGGAGGGCCTCCTACGGGTGGGCCTCAGTCTTGGATTGTGTTCTTACACAAGGTTTTAGTGACACAGCAATTATTGGCAAGAAGATCCCATATCTGTGCCTCTGCTTCCCTTGCCCATGCTAGACAAGGAGGAGGGAGGGGTAAAAATTCCCGACTTTCTGCCCTGGTACACTGTTATGAGTACCTTGGGATGGAAGGAAGCTCTCAAGAAGCCAATTGCTGTTAAGAGGCAGGAATGGGACAAAGAAGGCTAAAATAATACACACTTGACTTGTGTCCCAGCTGCTTGGTTACTTACTCATCCCAGTTTGTACTTCCTCTACAGAAACTTCTTCCTCCGAGTTCTGCGAAGAAGAACTCATTCTGTGGGGACTCCCAGTGATGCATTAGTCTTCTGAGCCTTGCTTTTCTTGAATTCTTCCTATTCTGATTTGCAGTGGCTTTGGGGGCTGGGAGCAGCTGAGCTGGAGCTCTGAGTTCAGAAGCCACATGCCTCATTGCACAGATCCTCCAGGTGAGAAGAGTTGCTGAGCAGAGTCCTCTGCACTGGAAACTAAGCCCCCTTGGGCTCTGAGAAAGGGGATGAGAAAAGCTTTTAATCTGCTCAGCTTTGATGGTTTGCTGTTTCTCTTCTGAAGCCTTCACTCACAATAAAGTGTTGTCTAAACTGCCAGTTGAAGGACAAACTTTTGTGGCTCACAGGTGCTTAAACTCCTCCCCTGTGAAAGACAAATGTTTTGCCCCCATGAGTAGCAGTGTAAAGGGCTCATTGTTGGCAGCAAAGCTCTCCTGTCAACAACAGGAACCCTGCCGGTATGGATGGAAGTATTTTGTCTGCAAAAGTGCTGACAAACAGTATTTTTATGCTTCCAGGCTTTTAGCCTAGCAGTCATGCAGCCATGATTAGAAACCCTTATTACTAAAAGCTGTGTTGTGTAGACAAAACCTTTGGATCACATCGAGCAAGAATTTCTGATTCTTTACTAATGGACTCTTTCTCTGTTCAGTGTGAAACTTCGGGATTTGTGATGGAAGCACTGAATTTCTCTGTAACTAGATCCCTTGGTACTAACATAAGAACGGCCGTACTGGGTCAGACCAAAGGTCTATCTAACCTAGTATCCTGTCTTCTGATAGTAGCCAATGCCATCCCCCCTCCTGCCACCAATTCCCAGCCTCTGACAAATAGAGGCTAGGGACACCATTCTTACTCATCCTGGCTAATAGCCATTGACAGACCTAACCTCTATGAATGTATCTAGTTCTTTTTTGAACCCTGTTAAAGTCCTGGTCTTCACAACAAGGAGTTCCACATGTTGATTGTGTGCTTTGTGAAGAAAAAAATCCTTTGTTTGTTTTAAATCTGCTACCTATTAATTTCATTTGGTGACCCCTAGTTCTTATGTTATGGGGAACAAGTAAATAACTTTTGCTTATTCACTTTTTCCACGCCAGTTGCAAAAGGACCTTTCTACAGTCCACTGAAGTCAATGCATTCCAACATTATTTTGTAACTGCATTTTAACCCTGTGGGATTATTCTTTGGGAGTTTTTTCGGGGGTTTTTTGCATTTTAAATCATCTATTTGTGTAAGTTTTATATTTCAGAACTCTCATCTCTCTCCATATTCACTTTATGTTATATACAGAAAACTTTTAATTGGCATTTAAAACATAAAATTACTTATGACAATTTGCCTATATGTGCTATTTGTTTAGTAGAAAACAGTATTATACATACATAAACCTTATTGAAAGATGTTGTTGCATGTTTGGTAATATCATTCAATTACAGTTATACCCAAAGAGTTCTCTTACATTTGGACTCTACTGTTCTTTTCTTCCCTGACCCTTCAACTTTACATTTACTAACATTAAATTTCTCTTGCCTTTTTGTTGCCCAATCACTTAGTTTGGTGAGGTCATTTTGAAGCTCTTCACAGTCTGCTTTGGTCTTAAATGGTGGAGGGGGCCTTCGGGCGAGTGAAAGCCCGCTTTCGATGCCTCCTCACCCGTCTGGACCTGGCCGAGCACAACATCCCTCCACAGCCCTTAGTTTGAACTAGCTAGTTCGAACTAGGCGTTAGTCCTCGTAAAATGAGGTTTACCTAGTTCGAACTAAGCGCTCCGTTAGTTCGAATTAAGTTCGAACTAACGGAGCGCTAGTGTAGCGCCTAGGAAAGTTAGTTCCAACTAACGTCCGTTAGTTCAAACTAATTTTGTAGTGTAGACATACCCTTGGAGAGGTATCCTCAGTGCAAGAGGATATCACAACGTCATTTGGAAGGAGGTTCCCAACTATGGGATGGTTTCCCTCTGCTCCAGTTGAATGTTCTTCCCTGAGCCTTTCACCCTCCTCAACAGCACAGGAGGACTTGAGATGGAACAGTCCTATAGTGTCCCAGAAAGCTTCATCTATATACCTCTGTGCCTCCCTTAACTCTTCTAATTCAGCCACCCTGGTCTCCAAAGCCCATACGTGGTCTCTGAGGGCCAGGAGCTCCTTGCATCAAATGCATACATATGCCACATATCAATAGAGCAGGTAATCTCACATACTTCATTGGGTGCAAAAAACAGGATAACCCACCACTCTGCTGCAGAGTTTTTACCAGCATGCTCTCCTACAGATAATTATATTCTTGATACAGTTTTTATTTAAATCAGGTAGTTTTGGCTTTAGTTCAAGTTTTAAAGAATGCCAGGTAGATCTAGTCCCCTCCAAACTCCCTCACAAACCTCCCTGTTAACTGCTCCTGGTCAGTCATCTCTCTGGTTGCTTAATAGTGGGCTTTATATAAACCTGGCCTTCCTGATAGCCCCACCCCTTGGTTAAGGCTTAACCAATAAACAGAGGATTGTAGATTTCAATTCCTTGTTAAGAAGCTCACAGGTTCCAGCTGCCAGCCTCAACACAAGGTCCTTCAAACAAACAGCTCAGCCCATACAAGCGCAGCACACCATATTTTTCAGGCAACCAGGAAGTAACACACACACACACACACACACTACAAACAGCTACTTCCCCCAAGGATTCTGTAATCACTCCTTCACCTGGAGAACTCCCTTACAAAATTCCCTGATAGCTGCTCCTGTTTGCTGAGCTGTAAAACTCTGCTCCCAATTCCCTGCATTCACACAGCAGCTATCTCACCTAGTTGTTTGTCTCTCCCCATCACTGTCTTTTCCTCAGGTCTTTTCCGCAGAGACAATACTGCTCTGCCTCAGATTCTCCTCCTGCAGACTCCTCAATAATTACACGTTCCTTGCTTCCAGGCTTAGCCCCAGCTTGCTAATGCTACTGTCCTCTGAAACATTTAGAGAAACTAATCTTCAGGGGAAAAAATTGCAGATCCAGAGTTGTACCAGTCAGTCATTTCACTTGAATCATTAACTTTGGGAAGTTCCAATGTACCAGTGATAGTAGGATCCAGCTGTTGTATGGAGATGTGGATAGCTGGTCAGATATTCAATGCGCTGCATATACACAAGGAATAAATAATAGTGACTCTAATATCTGGCACCTCAAGTAAAGGTGTCTGAAAGTGTTTGACAGGGATGAGTTAATTAAATGTGCTAATTAATCTGGTGTTACCCTTTCCCCTCAGCTATTTGTTAGCCCCATGTGATTTCTGACACTGTGTGTTGGTGTGTACTCCTATAATCACCTTTTCCACAGGATTATGATAATTTTGTACCAAGTACACCTGGTGAAGTATCATTCGAAAACTCATAACTTGCTGATTATTATTATCCTGGAAAAATGTGTGGGTCAACGTTATTTGTAAAGTTATCAGGTTCTGTCATATGGCATTACTAAGACATGTTCCAAACGTGGGGAGTGGGCACAAACCAGTTCCCCAGACACAAAAAGCAAGCTGACATTTTAGCCAGGTGTCATCAAAATCAAAAGGATCATCACTTGGGTAAGTGGCAAATTTTGTCAGGAAAGAGAATGTGGGTGAAAATCTACATCTTGACAAAGAGACTGCTGAGGGTTCATATCCATGCAGACTTGTCTCTTTGGAACCTCCTTTCAGGTAGTTGAAGGCTGTTATCAAATCCCCCCTCACTCTTTGCAGAATAAATAAGCGCAGTTCCCTCTGTCTCTACTCATAAGTCCTGGGCTTTAGCCCCCCAAATCATTTGTATTGCTCTCCACTGGATTCTCTCCAATTTATCTACATCCTTTCTGTAGTGGGTGGCCCAGAACTGGGCACAGTGCTCCAGATGTGGCCTCACCAATGTCGAATAGCGGGAAATGATCAGCTCCCTTGATCTGCTGTCAATGCTCTTAGTGATGCAGCCCAATTATGCTGTTAGCCTTCCTGGCAACAAGGGCACACTGTTGATTCGCATCCACCTTCTCATTTACTGTAAACCCCAGGCCCTTTTCTGCAGAACTACTGATTAGTCAGTCAGTTCCCAGCCTGTAGCAGTGCTTGGGATTCTTCTGTCCTAACTGCAGGACTCTGCACTTGTCTTTGTTTAACTTCATCAGATTTCTTTTAGCCTAACCCTGCAATTTGTCTAGGTCACTCCGGAATCCATCCCTGCCCTCTAGCATATCTGTCTCACCCCCCAGCTTAGTGTCATCTGTGAACTTTAACAAAATACAGGACTATGTAGCACTTTAAAGACTAACAAGATGGTTTATTAGATGATGAGCTTTCGGGGGCCAGACCCACTTCCTCAGATCAAATAGTGGAAGAAAATAGTGGATCTGAGGAAGTGGGTCTGGCCCACGAAAGCTCATCATCTAATAAACCATCTTGTTAGTCTTTAAAGTGCTACATAGTCCTGTAATTTGATTTGTCCTTTTCATATGTGTTCCTTTTTTTTTTAATTGTATCCTTTGGTATATATGGTTGTGACTATTTTCTTAAAATAGTGGATCTGAGGAAGTGGGTCTGGCCCACGAAAGCTCATCATCTAATAAACCATCTTGTTAGTCTTTAAAGTGCTACATAGTCCTGTATTTTGTTTCAGCTACACCAGACTAACACGGCTACATTTCTATCACTATCTGTGAACTTTGTGAGGGTACAATCCATTGCATCATCCAGATCATTAATGAAAATGTTGAACAAAACTGGCTCCATAACTAATCTCTGGGCTGATCTTTGGGGTACTCCACTTGATATCAGCTGCCAAATAGACATTGAACTGTTGGTCACTATCTGTTGAGGCCAACAATCTAGCCAACTTTCTATCCACCTTATAGTCAATTCATAGAATCCATACTTCCTTAACTTGCTGGCAACAATACTGTGGGAGACTGTATCAGAATCTTTGCCACTTTCCCCATATCCACAGAGCCTGTTATATCATAGAAGACAATTAGGTTGGTCAGGCATGACTTGCCCTGGTTAATCCATCTTGACTCTTCCTGATTACCATCCTTTCCTCCAAGTGTTTCAAACGAAAAGCAGCCTGCCAATGTAGACGCTTCTTTTCCGGAAAAACTGAAAATGGAATAGTATTCCGTTTTAAGCATTTCCGGAAATTCATGCCA